CATCAGCACGTACTGCAAACGTTCATTTAGACGGCCGCCTTAAATGCACGTCTGAGTCGGTCGGGAAATGAAGCAGCTCCGTCCTTATGACCCGCCATAAGGACACCCCGGCAGGTCGCAGTTACCTGACCTCTCCGGGCATTACAGATGCCGCTGCTCCCCACTGTGAGAAGCCCCACCCGGAGACAAACGTCCTCCAGCACGGCTCGCATCCCGACTACCGTTTTCTGCAGCTCCCCGTGGGGCAGAGGCCGTTCCCACAGCCGCGCACCTCGCTTCCCGACCGGAGCTTCCATTCCCCCCTCCGTAACCTCACGGCAGCGCAGCTCCGTGCCGGCCACGTGCCGCCTGTCCCCCTTAGGAGGGATTCTCCCCGTTCCGCACTCGACATTGTCGCACGGCCCCGACCCCCCGCAATACTCACGTTTGATGCACCTCTGCGAGCCCGTGGCCTTGCTCCAGCCGTGGCAGCACTGCCCTCCGCAGACGTTGACCCTGCGGGGAGAGCAGAGAGAGGCGACGGTCCGGAGGGGTCCCCGTCGGCCAACGGTCCCCGCACGGCCGGGACGGGAGACAAAAGGGCGGGAAGAGCGGAAAGCCGCGAGGAGCCGGGACGGCCGGGGGGTGAGCGCGGAGCCGCCCCTCGCCCGCTCGACGCCTCGGGTGCCCGAGGGAACGGGCGGGTAACGGCGCGAGGCGCCGCGCGGCACGGCACGGCGAGCGGGGCACCTTACCCCGGTAGCGGCGGCAGCGGGTGCTTCTGGCGGGGCGGCGCGCCGCTGCTGTTGCCGTGGGGTCCCGGCGGAGGCTTGGGCCGCGGGCCGAAGCGGGCCGGCTTGGCGAAGGAGGCGGCGGCGGAGCCGGAGTGGCTCTGCCCGACGGGGCCCAGGCGGAGCTGCACTCCCGCGCCTCCCGCTTTGCTCATCCGCCGCGTGCGCTCCGCGGTGCCGTAGCGCGCGTTGAGCTGCACGTTAAAGGTGCGCTGCTGCTGCTGCTGCCCCGCGAGGAGGGCCGGGCGCTGCTGCCGGCTGCCGGCCGAGCCCGCCTGGCCGGGGTGCAGCACGTAGGTGATTCTTCGCAGCCTGCCCTTCTCGGCGGCGGCGAGCGCCGGGGAGAGCAGCGCCCAGGCGCACAGGAGGAAGCCCCATCCGATCCGAGCCATCTCTGCGGCAGGAGCCCCCGCCGGCTTCGAGACCCCCGGCGCCCTGGGGGGAGGCGCGCGCGGCGGGGCGCGGGGCCGTCCTCCTCCCGCCGCCCCCAGCCCGCGCAGGGGCCGGGAAAGGAGAGCGCCCCGAGCCGCCCCCACCCGCCCCGAGCCGCCCGCGGAGTTCAGCGTCCCGCGGAGCGGGAGCACATCGCTGGGGAACGGCGGCGGTGCGAGCGGCGGGCCGGTCGGGGAGGAGGAGGAGCGGGGGGCGGTAGCGACGCGGAGCAGATGCGAGCGGCGCCGGGCTCCGCGCGGTCTGTGAGCCGGCCCGGGCTGAAAAACGCCTTTAAGAGTTGTGCGGCGAGCGAGCGCGTGCGGGGGGAGGGAGGGGACGGGGAACGGGGGGAGGGAAGGGGCGCCGCGGCCCCGGTGCCGGCCCCGCGTTGGCCCCACCGTGACGTCAGGGGGCGCGGGGCCGGCGCCAGGTAGCGGCGCGGGGGGCGCCGCCGGTGCGGGCGCCACGCGGATGGCGTAAGGGACGCGCGCGGGGCAGCGCACCTGGCGCGTTCGTGCGCGGGGCGGCGAGCGGCGGCGGCGCGGCCCCGGGGTGAGGGCCCGTCGGGGTCGGGCAGTGGTGGCGGGGAGCTGAGGCTGGGATCCTCGAGGTGCTCTGTCGCTGCGCAGGTGGGAGCGCAAGGAAAGCACCGAGGATCGCAAGAGGCCGGGCGCGCTCCTCCGCCCGCGTGGTCGGAGCCGGGGGCTGAAGACCACTCGGCAGGCAGCCTCGCGGCATCAGGGGCGCCGTTCTCTTTTGTTTGTTGTCGCTGTTGTTGTGTATTTCCTAAAGAACAGAACACAAACCCAGAGCGTGCCCCAGGAATTGACGTGTAAGCAGAACTGCCTACGTTTATCGACAGCGTATCTTAACTGATGCCACCTTGTAGCGCTGTAAATAAAGTTTGCAGAATACCGTGAAGAGTCCATCTTTGAAAATACTCAGAATCTGATGCGTTTGAGTTCTTTCCCAAAGAAAACCTCTCGGAGAATCAAACAGCTTGTGAATGCAGCAGCTTGGAATCCAGGTCTTCTTCCGCTGGTCCTCCTCTGCTCTTTTCCAGAGCTTTAAGGACACTGACCCTGCCTCCAAACCCATGAGATTTTCCTCTTAAACGCCATTGGCAGAGCCGACACGGGGAGCAGGAGGGTTTCGCATTGACAGGATTCCAGGCAAAAGCCAGAGTTAAGAGCACAGCGGTCCCTTCCTCCCTAGTTCTCATCTATTTAAAACTGTTCTAAAATAGATGTCTTAAATAGATGAGAGATGGGAGCTCTCTGTAGCCACAGCGTAAGGGAGCCACACTGACAACAAAGGCTTCTGCTTCTGTGTCTCAGTGTCCTGAGCTGTTTGAGGAGAAAATGGCATCGGGGGCTCAAAAGTCCCCATGGGGCTACAATAGGGCCTGAACTCCAGAGGTTCAGAAGGAAACTGAGGTACAGCTTAAAAGTAGATCCACCTTGAAAATAACTCAGAAATTAACTGCTGAGACTGTTGGCGAACGTGTGCATCTGCAGTGCTTTCCTTAACATCCTGATCAGCTGAACTGCTCACACTTCCAAAGGATAATTACTGTCAATCCTAAGCACGCTAAATATTTTTACAGTGTTTGGGGAACAAAAAATACCTTGAAACCAGAGAAGTGGTGAGAAGATTGAGTGAGCAGCGTGACACTGATGTGGCACTCGGGATTGTTGCTCTGCACAAGGCTGCTGTCCTTCAGAAGTTTTCCGGCATGAGATCACAACTACTTGTGTGGCTGGGGTTGTTGTACAGAGGGCAAAAGCTGCATCATTCCACAGCAGGAGCCAGTTGCTTTTAAGAAATGTGGGTTTTAAGTCACGTCACACAGAGGGCAAGGGCGGTGTATCACCGGCTACTGTACAACAAATGGTGAGGGACCGCAAGAGAAATAGATCCACGAAGGTGGATGCCTTGCAAAAAATGATCTAGGTTCAGAAACATTATTGAAAAAAATTCTAACTATTAGCTGAGATTAATTGGTTAAGATCAAGCCTTCCTCACAAATTCACATAGCAGATCAAACCTCGTCTTCTCTTTCTTTTTTCCCCTCTTAGAAGGAAATCCACACATTTCTTGTCTGTTTGTCTGGTTTTGGTCACTTTTTTTTTACTTTGTTTCCTTCCCAGCTCTGGAAAGTTTAGAAGTTAGGGACCTGGTTTGGCTGCATTAACACACTGGGTTGACCACAGAAGTTCTAAGAGCTAAAAAGAGAACCTCGGTGAACTGCTGCTGCAGTCTAAAGCTCAGCTCAATTTTTTTTTAGCATATAGAAGTCCCTGCTTCCAAAGACCAAGATGCACATCTAACCAGCACCAAACGGCGGGGTGTTGCCCTTTCAGAAACAAGCCAAGCATTTACTACAGCTCTTTGAGCAAACAGTATCTGCAAGAGAGAAAACTCCTCTGGCTGCCTCCCACCTCTGAAAGAAAAGGGCATCAACTGGGCGTGCTATTAGATGCAGGAGTTAGCATCCTGCACCACCTGCCAGCTACACCACTTCTGTTCCTCTCCCCTTCTGATTTACGTCTGAAGGGTGAACACAGAGAAACATAGAGAAGGGTCCTCAGTCTGTACAGCTTGCAGCAGAGCGGCTGTGCTTTGGGTGCTCTGTGGTGAGGGTTTGGCTGAGGTGGGCCGAGCTGGTTGGATTACCATGAGCAGGAGACTTGCTGCCTGACAAGATGGCAGGATTGTTTCAAGGGTTAAAGACTTAATGAACAAGTGTGAGGGTGACAGTATCTGCAGTAAGAACCAAAATAATACTACTCAAACCAAAATGAGAGCTAAGCCTCCATATACACTTCTGTTTCATTCTCATTACTTTGGGGCCAGTTCCATGAGGTCTGTGCAGAAGGCCTTCTGAACAAAGCTGGCAGTGCTCAGACCTGAACAAAGCTGGCAGTGCTCAGACCCTCACAATTCTTTCTCAGCAAACAAAGGGGACAGGACTCTGGCCTTGTGTCTCACAGAGTGTGGGCCTGGGACCCTGGTTTGCCAGGCCCTTAGCAGGAGGCTGCAGGGTATATGCATGCTATGTTAAGGGTGGAGTGACCCAAGTGTGGCTGATCACAGACTTACATTTAGGCACTGGAATGGGCTGCCCAGGGAGGTGGTGGAGTCACCGACCCTGGAGGTGTTCAAGGAACGTTTTGGACAATGTGTTGAGGGACATGGTTTAGGGAGAACTGTTGGTGATTGGTGGATGGTTGGACCGGGTGATCCTGTGGATCTTTTCCAATCTTGGTGATTCTATGATTCTATGATATGGAGCAGTGCCACAGTGTCTTCCTGCAACCCGATGTCCAGGTTAGCCAGGCAGCAGCTGAACTATCAGAAGTTCCCAGTGTATTGCACTGAAAGGCCAGCAAGAGGTCCTGGTGCTTGTCTACACGCACAGGTCAGGAGGCCTGCAAGGAAAGCGGAGTTGGGAGCTTGTGATACATGTGAAGGTTTGATTTATATGCTCAGACCAGCCCTAGTTAATGGCTACAGAAGAACACTTTTACAGTAGTGAGAACCCACAAGCTTCAATAACATTACTCCAAACTTCTGGGAAAAACCAGACTCTACAATTCCTTGTAAACTGCAAATCAGCTGGGTATCGATTTCTAGTGTATTCAAGTATCTGCAAAAAAGTCCCTGTATTTTGTAGGTTAAATTGTACCTTTAGCCACAGCTTCCTAGATGTATATGTTACTCTAATCAAGAAGGTATTTCATTTGAATGAAAGCTTAACCTTACTGTCATCAGAGTAGGGAAAAGAATTAACTGGCCTTTATTACGTCACTAAAGCGCACATGACTCTAAATACATAGATTAAGTAGATTTGCAGAGCAAGACCACGCTGATGGTAATACAACTTCTATGAAGTATTTTCTGTACAGAACTGTACCTTCTGGCCTTCAGGCAGAAACTATGTTTACTCTATGGTCAGCAGTTCCTGAGTGCTACCACCATATAAATATAATTAGTAATGTTTCACAAAAAGTCCAGCTTGCTTGGGCTTCACGTAGGCATTTGCATTCACTTCCAAGGAACTCAGATGGTCAGACTCGGCGTGAACTAATGTGTGAGGCCTTGGAAAGAAGTTGGCTTGACTTTGCTGAAGCCATTCGCTGTTGGTGGCCCTCTTCCATGGCTCAAGAATCTGTAATGATAAACCCTTTTGTGTCTCAGGGCAACTCACATTATGTTACCTTGGGTAAACACTCTTATGCTTCCCCCTCCATCAACATGCTACCATAAATGCACCTTTGTAACACCTTCCCCATCTCCTCAGAAAGAAGTCTTCCTCTCCCCACTGCGATCATGGTTCTGTTGCATTAGATGCAGTACAAACATGCCAAGAGATGAATTACACCAGCTTTCCCAATTGGGAATCACAAGCACCTGAAGCAGACTAGCTTTTCAGAGATGAACAAGCTTTTATGATGAGACTTACAGCTTGCTTTGTATGTGAATTCACATCTTGGAACAACATGGGTTCTGTGTGGTACTCGTTGTCTGAAGTGGTCAGATTAACACACAGGTAGTGCAGTCTGGATGGGAAAAGGAGACAGACAAATGATAGTGAAGGTACTGATGATCTTTCCCCTCGGACTACTTCCAAAAGAGGCTGCTACAAGGACTACTTTTTTTTTTTTTTTTTTTTGGGGTGGGGGGAAATGGGGGGTGGAGGCCCATCAAGTCACAATGAAATTTGGATTCATTTTGGCAAAAATCTAATGTCAGTCTGTCACTATTGACCACTGCCATATCCAGCAAAATGCTAAAAGCAAGTAGGATTTGGCTTATTTTCAAGTTGCTGACATAACTGTCATACTAAAATTAGTTGCACAGATTTGCATAGTCTTGAATTCCATTTTCCTGAACTAGCAGAAATCTCTACTGGGATATTTGGCAGTTTCACAGTTACCCTCACATAAAATAACTGATTCAGAAATACAAGATTTTTTTTCAAGATATGAAGATCTCTGTACTATGCTGTTACAATTATTTTCCCCCTCAGGGAAATAAATATATCTTGTCTACAAAACAATTAAAATATCCATTGAACTTTTAAAATGTACTATTCCTCACAAATTGCTTGTTTTCTTTGTGCAACGCTGAAAATAAATAAACTACAGAGGAAATTAGGTGGAAAGGAGCATAAAACTGAAAAAAATACATTTAACTATTTCACTTTACCTTCAGGAGAAGACATGTTTAAACTAACACATTCTTCACAAAAGCAAAGTAAATATTACAACTAATATTTGAAAACTCTCGCAGCATGGCTATGTCATATGCCAAGAACACTAACCTCTACAAAAATAAACTTCAACAGTGGATTCTGGTTTTTCACTGTCGCACTGTATGCTGCTCAGACATATGAAAGCTGAAGGAAAAAGCTTCATATTGGCAAAACAGAGCTCTTCCTGACTTGAATTAGCTTTGAAACGTCTTAAAGTTTTCGTAATTATACATTATCCAGGCAGACAAGCCCATCAGCATTAGTGGAAGGGATGAGAAGTACATGGAAGCAGTCTGAGATGAAGGAAAGAGGAGCCATGATTGATGGGAAAAGCACCCATGACTGCAGCAGCTACTTAATGACGTCAAAGGCAACATTTTCACACCCTTGCCTGTGCTTAGTTTCCAGCAGGCCCAACAGCTTGGGATGACCCTAGCTGGGCAGCTTGGGGCACTGCTCTCTAGATCACAGAGAGAAAACAAGCCCTGCTCAGCCTGCTATGCTAAAAAGTAGAATCTGAGCTTGACAGTCAGAGTAAACAATTGTTCAAAGACCAGCTGGGCACACAGAACAGCAGATTCTGGTTCTTTGGATTAAAGAAAGGGCAGAATACTATTTTTAATGATACACTTGGAGCAGCTTCCAGCCACACCAGTGTCAGAGGTTGGGAGTATGTGTATAGGTTCCTGTGTCTGCTGCTTTTCCAAAGTTTGTGGTGAAAGGTGGTGAAAATTACAAACTTAAAAAAAAAAAAAAAAAAAAAAAAGAGGTAGGGAGAAAAATGCTAGCCTTTCATTTCCATCACTTTTTCTCCAATAGCAAAAGGTGTCTGCAGAGGTGTTTAATGTCAGTCTGTAGTGTGTCTGTCTGAGGTTTGCATCAGGATGCTTGAGCACTGACCCTGCTCTGAGGAGGAGTTAGCCAGAGGACCTCTGAGGAGTCTCAGTTACCCTCTGAGCATATGCCAAGTTGTGGCACTGTGCCTAACAACCTCAGGCAAAAACAGACAAAGCCCATTTTGGGTGGGATAGAAACCTGTTTCAGGAAAGTAGGCCTGCAGGGTAATGGTATGCAAGGCCCCCTGCTGCAGGCTGCAGTGGGGTGGGAACTTGTGAACTAGAGAAGACCAGAAGAGCTAGGTTATTCCACAAGGGATGAATCAGATCCCAGAGAAAAGTTAAACACCTGGGCTCAAACACAGTGCTGAGCACAGTCTGAACTGATCTTGCCACAAGGCAGGTTGTAACACAAGCATACTACAGAGATTCAAGCTCAACCAGTACAAAGCTTTGGCTATATCAGGAAAGATTGAACGTGACCTAGTAACTAAGGGGCTTAGCCAAGAAGGGTCTGGTAGGGGCTTAAAAACCCAAACAGTTAAAACATAGTTTACAATAGGACAAATGAAGGCGATGTGAATGACTACTTTGAGCTCCTGTAGAGCTGCTGAACTGTAGCTGTCCCAAAAAGCCTGCAAGACTCTGGGCTAAACAAAGGCAAGAGGAGGTCAGAAGAAGCCAGTGACTTGAGTTGTCCTTATCATACAAACCTCATATTAGATTCCTAATGAAAGGTTTTTCTTTTTGAGGCAAGCTAAGCATACACAGTAGTAGCTCAGATGCTGCATTCCCTGTGCAAAAGGGCAGCAGCAAGAAGTCCTGGGCCAGAGTGATATGGGGACAATGACAGAAGGACCTGCCTAGCAGTTTTCAGCAAGAAAGAGTGTGATCCTAAACTGCATGCACAGCCCCAAAAATAGGTGGAGCAGCAGCATAACAAAGTGGTCCAAAGGCTTCAATCTCAATGAGCTGCAAGAAGTGGAAAGACTTCCTACTGATTTCACTTGTCTTTGGATTGAAGAATGTAGATGAAGACTGTGGAATGTAGAGTACCTCACGTGAAGGCTTTAACCTTCTTCAGAGTCTGTGGTGTCATGAGATCCTTTTTCCATTCTTGTTGGTGATAGGCAGTTTTGCAGCTTTTTTTGGGCTCAGAGCACAGAGGCTACACAAAGTATGAATATAAAAATGATAAGATTTGTATTCACCCTGGATTTAAAATAAAGTTTTGTAATTTCCAGGTTGTTTTAAGCTTGCCATCGTAATTTGCTGTGATTCCCTAAAGCAGTAGCAGATGAATCTAAACAGTGCATGGCTTGTGGTCTGTCCGCAGCATGCCCACATCGTCCTGCTCTCAGACATTCCCATGACGGCCAGCCAGTGAGTCACTCAACCACAGCTCCTCATCGCCAGCAAAGGGAGCTCACCTGACAGGCAGTCTTTCACTCCTTCCCTCGTTCACGCACTCACTCACTTCTGCCAGGGGGGTTCCTCACCCCAGCACAGGCAGTGTCTCGGCAGAGCTGTGCTGAAGGTCTCTTCAGAAGCCTCTTGCGTGCAAACGCAGACACTCCTGTGACACGTCTGGGGGCTGATTCACTAGAAAACACAGATTTACAGGGCAATGAAACATCACAAGCAGCAGTTAGGAACAGCATGCACAGAGTCTCAGCTACACACATCTGCATTCCAATCTGGAAATAACTTGATGATGTGCCTCAGTGGTAAAAGGTCTGAGAGATTTTTGTTTGAATTACATGTAGCTGACTGCAAAGAGAAAAGCCACTCTCTTTACATATTACAGCCACCCAGGAAAGCAGGCATTTGTAGCAAATGCTCTTGGGTGATGTAGCCTTTTTTTCTCATTGTAGTTTTGTTGAGTTTTACTCAGCAGCACACAGTGAAAACCCTCTAGATTCAAGATTCATGCACAGATGAATTTGCTACCTTTGCCTAAAAGATAGCAAATAGCTTTTGTACTAAAGCTTACAGTTTTGGGGTTGGAAAAAAGAAGTGTTTCTATCCTTTTCTTTTAAAACAAGCATAGAATTTTCAAGGAGCACAGTTTTCACCTATCAGAGTACATGCAATCTTGAACTGAAAAGATGTAATCTGAAGAAAAAAAGAACAATCTTTGTACAAAAGCTTCTTGTCTATTAATGTTCTTAGCACATCGATGGCTATCGCTGACCTAAGATCAAGCAATTCCTATACACCTTTTAAGCTGACTTACCTGCAATGTCTCTCTTTTTCCGTGAGGTCGTACTTATGGCTGACAATGATCTGTATTCTCCAAAATGGCAACTTTGATGATTCCCAGTGATGTAACTTGCAAGAGTTTTTCAAGCAGAAGCGATTTAACAGCAACTGCAATTGTGAAAATGAGAAATCATGACTGCCAACTACTGAAACTGAGAGAAACCCCCTCTAATAGAGAGAACGTGAACAAGGACCATATGTAAGTCCTTAACATTGATCAGCAAAAACAATGGTGAGTTGGTTTTTTGAGCGTTCACCAGTTTTGCTTAAATACTATGTCACATTCTCAGGATCTATAAGAATCTTTTGTGATTCTTTACAGTACAGTTCATCAAATACTGATATTTTCTGTTCCATCATTTAAAGCAGCTTTTGCAATCCATAAATGTACAGCTGTTCTTCAGTCAGTTCATCATCTTATCACATATCTTTCACAGTCTAGAATAGATTTCTACTGAATAATGTAGTCCTGCTCAAAGATAGGGCTGACACGTTGAATTCCTGCTACTTGTTGTTCTATTATTTTCAAATTGAATGTTGATGGAGGTTTTTTCTGAAAGAATTCAAGTATTGTTTTTAGTGCAGAGAGGATCTAGGTGATTTGACAAGACAATTAGACTGAACAAAGTTGTTTTATAAAGCTACACAAAGATTTAGTTACTCTGAACAAAAGATTCACAACAACAGTTTAATATTTGGAGGTAGGGTTTATAAAAAATAATGAAAGAATGAAAAATTCATAACTCATTAATTAGAAGTGTTTGTTTGTAATCTCCATCCAAATCTCATTATCTCTCTCTCTCTCTGTGACCCCCAAGGCAAGCAGTAGATGAGGATTACCTTCTGTTCTGTTCAGGAGAAACTGGGGAGTTCTGCTTAATTTATGCATATTTTAGACAGCTGTAAAGAGCTTGGATCAGCACCTTTGGTAAGTATGCTTTTTTCTTTTCTATTAGAACATGTTTGTACGGATTAGCTGAGGCTGAATTTGCATATAAAGTACATCTCTTTAGCAAGTAATTTGCTGGAATTTAGCTCTTCCCAAATGTTTCTACAGTAAAAATTCTGAAGTGCCCTTAAGTGTTGTTTACAGACAGATGGCTTATTATTCATATTAGGAATAAAACTCAAAAAAAGTTTTTTGTCTGAACTCTCTGAGTTTTTCATGGAAAAGAATAGTGCTAAAAGAGCTATAACAGATTCTCTGTTCCTCAAAGCAGGGAGCATTTTTTTTATATCGTTTGGTAAAAGTCTGCTGTAAATAGATGTGTAATGGTTTGTCTTAGGTACTGAAAAGAAGTCACTGTGACCACCTAGTTAAACACTATATATATGCTGAGCACTCCATTAGCTAGTTTTCACTAGTATTAAAAGAAAGATGATTTAAGGCATCTTTTTCTTCTCTTGCTGTGTGCTACTCTTCAATACATGTCGGCCCTTATCCTGTGACATGAAAACTTATCTTCTCAGCAAAGGAGGCTTTGAGTTCACTCTCACTGGTAAAGTAGTTTAACTTTATGCCAAATTGGAAACTTTCACCCTTCCCCTGGGGTAAATAAAATCTCTATAGCAAGAGTTCAAGTCAAGCAAGTTCTCTGCTAGTTACTCTTTCCATGAGTCACACACTTCTCCAGAATCTGTCCAGCTCCTTGTTTCAGCAAAGTAAGATCAACATAACCCTAATTGTATTTTATAGCTGAAAAGAATACTAATTTCTAATACTAACAAGAACAAAAGCCCTCTTCAGTTACAAACCAAGCTTTTTGTGTCCTTTACTTCTGCAGTTTCTTGCTTCACTTTCCCATAAAGCTTAGCTTTCCTCTCGCTTTTTTCCTAGGTCTGGCTCTCTAATCAAAACAATGTGCTTACCTTTTAAGTTTCTCACATAGATTATTTCTCAGCAGCTACCAGTCTAACAAAAATCTTTCACTTTAGGGAGGTGCTCCTCTTTTCTTATGCTATCTGGTCACACATGCATTAGGGAATTACACTGGTCGCATGATCATCCTCCACAGTGCTCCAGTGCATAAGGCTTAGACTGAAATCAGCAGTGGTGTGGGGGTGTACATGGAGCTCGGTTTCAAGGGCCAGCACTGCCTGTTACAGCCCTCTTCTAATTTGTAATAATATTCTTATCTTGGGAAAGCTAATGCTCTTTGAGCATACTGCTGATCCCACGATCAATTAATCTTGCACAGTGTCTTAACAATTCTATACAGCCATTGTTTCCATATGGTAATTCCAAGAAGAATAATAAATATTATAGGAAAACGTATTTTTATTTTTATAATTAAAAGAAAATCGGAAATAGTATCTCAGAGGGTAATCTGTTTTCTCCATAAAAGGAAACAGAGTACAACGAACAGCATCTTCCAGGCCTACGTATTATGGCACATGGGAAACCTTTTTTGAAAAGTAAGAAAACAAGATGTTTGAAAGTACAATGAACACTTAAACTGAGTGTGTGGGTGAGAAGCTGTGAGCTAGTTTTCGTCACTGATGGTGCTGATTCCACGCAAAATAAATCCATTTGAAATACTGTGCATAGCAAGCAGAGTGGTCCCAATGGAGAGGTTTGATTTTTATCAGGTATTATGTGCACCAAGGTCTGTGTATTGTCAAAGAGGATCTTGTCATAGACAGTAATCCCGCTGAAGCTCTTGGAATGTTTTCACAGTTCCATTTTCCAGGATATCTTCAGAAATAAAGCTGGTGATGTCTAGGCATTGTAGAGGATGAGTTATATTCTCCTGACTTTCAGTAGTAGGTTAAGCCACTAGGTAGCCTGTTGAAATGCAGTTACAGTAATATTTTGGCTGCCTAAATCTGTAATGTAAAAATGTTTAGAGTCACAGGTTTATGAGTGTATTGTTGTAATGCAAGCTATAGTGCAATGTTCTTTCAACTGCAAGCAATTAATTATTCTTTGTTTATCTGTATTTGTTTTACTAGACCTCTTTATTCCTACCTACAGCTTTTTATGATATGCAAGAATAAGCATCATTAGCATTTATATCTAACAAATGCCAATATACTTAGAAAAAGAGCCAAGCACCATAAGAGGTTTTGCATTGCTTCAAAAGTACAATGGTGTAGAAAATAAGCATATGTTTTCGGTTCCTTTTTATCACTTCAGAGTGTTGTCTGGCTTTTCCAAACAGTATATATAAATACGATTATATAACCCCAAGATAGGAAAGCACTTGTTTAAACATGTGCATGCCTACAGTATCATAATTTACAGAGACTCAGAGTTGGCACCATGTTCTGACATGGAAATTTAGGGTTGCACCACATGTACTAAACAATTGCTCTAATGTTTGAAATACAATGGCCATACTGTTTTGTTTCCAAGTTCCTTTAGGAAAAATCAGTACAGATTTTTTGGTACAATATTACCTCTCTAGGTACAATAGAAAAGTATTCAGTGTATTATTTCTGAATACAGACATCACTTACAACACTGTAAAAATAAAAATAATTTTAAAAACCTCTTCAAATTAAAGCTTAGGCACAACATTCCCAGTGCTACTTGGGACCAAAACTCTGAAATTCAATAGGAACGTAGCAGCAGCCTGTGGATGCAGAAGTCGCAGGTGGAAAGCTGAAACACAAACAAACAAGGCCTCTCTAGAAAAAAAAATCTCCAAGTTAAATATGCCCGTTTCATTGTTAAAACTACCGAGTTGACCAAGCACTTTGTTTTACGAGACATTACACAGACAGAGGAAAACGGGTTTTGGTACTGTACTGAAAGGTAACAGTGGAAAGAAGGAGGAAAACAGCCTGGTAAAAGATAGCTCCCAGAACTGGATGCAGTTGCAACATGGATGGCTGTATAACTCTGCACATCGTGCTGCTCCCTCAGCCCTCAGAAGTTCTCTCACAAAACCTCAAAGACCTTCCCAGCTTAGTCTTGCAGATTTTTACACTTCTCAACCCTTCATAGCGCTGTAGGGACCACAAACCAGCCATGTCTGCATATAGCTGTTCTTTCGTGAGCTGAAATAAGGCAGAAGGGTTTTGGTGATGTATTTATACTAAGTTCGTATCTTGATAGGAAGTCACCTCTTGGCTTTCCTGGTGACCAAAACTGACCTTGTCATCTCGACTCAGGAAAACCTACATGTATGGAAAAATTGCACTGACCAGAGTTCCAAGTAGTACAGAAGAACATAGCACTCTGTCAAGAAACTTCTCTGCTGGGCTATAAGAGGAGAAAGCTGTATAAGAGCAGCTCAGCTGTTCAATTTTTTATTTTTATTTTTTCTGAAAGACTTGAAAAATGTGAGCCAAAAATCAATCTTTGTAGCTGTAGAGAAACTCTGCGGTCTCT